TCATTTGAAAAATATGGATCATTCAAGTCAAATTGAATGGCTCAGCCTTGACTAAAAAAAAAAGTTGGAATAGGTTAAATATTCTTCTCAACGATCTTTAAACAAATTATTCAACGTACACTTCTTTTCAATCATCTTTAAACAAATATAACTTTACAAAAAAAGTTAAAATAGGTTAAATATTCTTACATCCCTAATAATCTCTTTGATTGGAGGGGATAAAAACATACAACACTATAAACACGAGTGAAAAATATTTTCAAAGAATAAAAAACACGAGGAGAAATCAATTATCACAAGCTAAAAACATCATAATTTCTTTAAGGGAATGTACCCCTGATGGAACCAAATAGGAGACAATAGTCTACCATATGGACCCATCACAATTTCTTTAAGGTATCCTAAATATTTTTTTCTACTAAATCACTCTAATGAGTTTAGAGTAGTCAACCATATGGACCAGTCCGTAGGGTGGCTCCCAAAATCAACAAGAAAAAAACCAGATGACAACTTTCTTAGGGGTGTTTTTAATTTTTTTTTTAAATATATGATGAGAATAATAAAAAGTAGGGTTACCATTTGGAAAAATACTCAAAAAGATTATATTTTCTAAGGCAATCGTCGAATAATAAACTAAAGATTATGTTATCAACTATAGAGTAAAGGATAATATAATAATAATATTTATATATTTTAAAAATAAATATAAAATATAATTTTTTAAAAAATATTCAAAATAAATTTAAAAGGTCTATATGATCGCTATTTTTTTTAAAGCCTTTAAAATAGTTTTTTTATTTATTTTAATCATTAAAAGTTAGATTTATCCATAAATGATAGAAAATTATCATTCAAATTTTCAAAAATAAAAAAATATGTTTTTATCCATCTAGGATTGATTCAAAGGTTTACTGAAATTTTAGGCTTGTTTTAACAAGGTTTAGACCAAATTATACTATTTTTTTAATAACTTAAAATAGTCTAAATCTTAATTTTTTCAACCAAACTTTTGTAATTTTGTTTCGAACAAATTAACAAGTTCAAATATTACACAAAATATCATGAAATGGTCAAAATTATTGATATTTTTTGTTCCTTTTCAAAAAACAGTATGATTGGATCTGAACTTAATATGTATAATCTTAAGGTTTTGAAGAATGGAAGGAGTCGTATTAAATTTAAACTATGTGAAGGAATCCTAATCAAATTTGTGAATGAATCCTAATTAAGTTCTAACTCTTTCCTAAATTAGGATTAGGATTTTAATTAGAGATAAAATAGGTATAGTATATCTAAAAAAATTAAAATTTATTCCTATACATACATCTAGTCTCTCCATTTTGATAAGAGGAAACTGATAATTTATGTGCTCTAGAGGGAGGAATTCCACTACATTAGGTTTCGAGTTTGAGTTTCTAGTTAATTCAAGAAAAAATATATTTTTTTATTTTTTTATAATGAAAATTTAAATTTTTTATAGATATAAAAAAAAGTTATTTAAATTTTATATTAGTTTTTGATGGATTCATATTTTAATTTTAAGTTATTCTCTTCCTCCCTAATATCTTTAAAAAAAAAAGAAAATCCAATAAGATCCGTTGACTAAAGGCAATCTCAAGTAGTAAAATAAACCGTTGTGGACAGTTGAATTCCTTTTCCACAGTTGAATACGAAAATGAAATGTCAAAAGCCTCCTTTTGTCGGTGCTGAAGAAAACATTTGGGAAACGGCCCCTTTTCGATCGGAGAAAAGAATTAAAGAAATAAAAGGGGTGAGAAAAACGTCAAAGGAAAGAGCACGGAAAGAGTATTATTATATTTGTCTTAAAATGACTGCATGGATTGACCCAACCACGAGAAATCGTAACGACGTCGTCTTTGTTGACTCCTCTGTTCTGCGCATCTGTCCACTGACGTGTTCGCCTATCCATTTGCAGCCGTATTGAAAGCTCGATCTCATGGATGTTTTCCAGGCGTCTTGGGTATACTTGTGCCAGGCTTCCGCCGGGATCTTTTCTCTCTCGTTGCTGCTTAGATTTGGGAAGGTCACGCACAAACTTGGAGGAGGGAAGAGTTGGAAGAACCGAACCATCCGTGTTCAAAGAGCAAGAACAGAGACTGCCTTCCTGGGATTTGTTCCGTGCCCATCAGCTGCCTCTTCCTACGATCGACACGCATGCTCCGAAAGTTTCCAGCTTTTTGGACTTTCCTTCTTCTTTGAGGCTTGACGACCCGCATCTCTCTCTCTCGCGCGCGCGCGCGCTCGCGTGCGCGGATACTTCGATTCTTGACCTCCAACGCACGCTGAAGACTCGGAGGGGCGGCCCAAGGTGCGTCTTTTATCCCGAAAGGTGACGACTTGGTGGGATTCGAGGACGGATTCCGGGGGGTGGGGAGGTGCAGCGATTGGGGGGCGTGAAAAATGGACGGTCTGATGTTGATGAAGGGGGTTCCGTCGACGGGCCTCGCCGTCGGTCGTGACGTCGCGTCACGGCACCACCTTCCGGCGGCGAAAGTTTACGCCTTGGGTCCTCGGGCAGCCGCGGGGAGCGGTGGGAACGTGGTGGAGGCGTCAGCGGCCGGTGTGGCGGCGAAGCGGTCGTATATGTTCCCGCTGCCGCTGAGGCGACTTTGGCCCGATGGGGGTGGGGCCGTCGCGGACAAGGGGAGCGACGACGTTGCCGCGGCAGAAAAGGTGGAGAAATCGGTGGCGCTGGAGGAGGAGGAGCAGGAGGCTGTGGCGGAAGTGGCGGAGCACCGGAGGGACAACTGGGTGTTGAAGATACTGAGAGTGACGTCGATGTGGGCGGAGAGGGAGGAGCCGGAAGCGGGCGGCGACCGGGAGGTGGCGGCTGTGGAAGACGGCGACCGGTGCGTCGGTTGCGAAAGCTCCCCCGAAGATGGCTCGGAAGGGTGCGTCGTCGAAGACGAAGAAGAGGAGAAGATGGTGTTCGACCGGGAGTCCTTCTCCCGGTTGCTCCGAAGGGTGTCTTTGGTGGAGGCGGAGCTCTACTCCAAGATGGCCTACCTTGGTAGCCTGGCATACATCGTTTCCAAGATCAAGGTACCAAATTGAGAAGTTCCCAAGCATTTCTACCATCTGGATGACCTTTCTTGCTTTTGGCCTATAACGAAATGGGTTTTGGGATGTTCTGATCGAATGTTTGAACTTTAAGGAGAGTATATTTTTCTTGAGTTAATTCATCAGTCTATCATCGAGAAATTTTTGCCTGCGAAGATTTTTCTTAACTTGTTGATTTATTTGATGGATTTGTTGAACTTTAGCATGCAAGGAGGATTGAAAGTTTTTAGTCTCTTTGATGGATCGAGAATGTTGGATCTTTACAAGGGATTTTATTTTATTTTTGGAGAAATTGTCAATTGTTTTTGTTTGGCTTGATCTGTAGGCTGGATATTTAGAATGCCATCCTGATTCTTGATAGAGAATCACAAGTTCACCATGATTCTGAAATCTTTTAGAAAACTAAATAAAGAAAAAAAATTTCCATTTAATCATACTTCGCATGTGAAAAACTTTGTCTTCCTTTCGGAAATCAAAGTCTTGTGCTTTTGTCCATTCCATGATTGAACCATCCCACCTAACTTCACCGTACAACTTCAATTCTTTTAGTTGATCTTTAAATTTTCTAGAGAGAAGACCTTAAGACATGATTTTGCCATTTCCTCAGCCGAAGAACCTCCTGAAATGCTATGGACTGCGATTTGTAACTTCATCACTGGAGAAGAAAAGCACATCTTTAAATTCGGATGAGCAGCTGGAACCATCTCAAGATCAAGAACTGAAAGAGGAGGTCCATGAGGTGGAAGATAATGACAAAAGGAAGGGAAATAGTACTGGCATAAGTGCATCTGCTGCTTATCAAATTGCAGCTTCGGCTGCTTCATATCTGCAATCTCAGACGACGGGAATTCTTCCTGGTAAGACAGAGACAGGCAAGGATTCAATAGAAGGAAGCAGCAAAAATAAAGAAGGTGGGACTCTGAGTCCAGAAGAGGCATCATTTATGGCCACTACAAATTCTGTCACTGCTGTAGTAGCTGGGAAGGAGGAGATGAGACAAGCCATTGCCAAGGACTTGAACACAGCCAAGTCTTTACCTTGTGAATGGTACATATGTGATGATGATAAAAGTGCAACAAGATATTTTGTCATTCAGGTGAATTATTTTTATTTTTATTTTTAGTATGCCTTCCTTTTTCTCTTCCCTTTTTATACTAGGGATAGTTTTGGTATGAATTCATTACTGATGTGCAGGGTTCTGAGACACTGGCTTCTTGGCAAACAAATCTTCTTTTTGAACCCATTCAATTCGAGGTACTACCTGTTTTCTAAATTTTCTCTAAACATTTTTTATGGATTATTCTTGACTTTTTCTGTTGAACTTCATCGTCCCATGTATATAGCTTGTCGGAGTGAATGCGAGGCCTTTGTTGGCAGTTTGCTGCATCTGCATGTTTTTGGGGCAAGCTTAGGTCAAATATGATTTGTTGTCCACATAATTCAAAATCAGAATGGACATATTTTGTTGAATTCACCCAAATCATGAGGATTTATGCCCCATCTTTTATTTTTTTCTTTTGCAAAAAGTTTTAAAATTAATCGAAACCATCTTTGACTGGATGTGCCAAAGCTTGTATCTGTCACATGTCGGCATAATATCTTAATCCTTTTTGAAGACATTACTTCTGCTTATTTATGGCCAGAACAATTCATATGTATTTGTCACGTGGCTGAAAGGGTCAATTCTGGCACTTTCTAACCTTCTGTTATTTTGTTGGACTTATCAATTTGTTTGAAGGAAAAGTAACTTTGCTCATTGAGATGTTTATTTTTATATTCCAGGGGCTAGATGTACCCGTACACAGGGGTATCTATGAGGCTGCCAAGGGAATGTATCATCAGATGTTACCGGAAATCAGATCTCACATGAAATCTCATGGTCAATCTGCAACTTTGCGCTTCACTGGTCATTCGCTTGGTGGAAGCCTTGCGCTGCTTGTGAATCTTATGTTACTAATACGAGGAGAAGCACCTCCTTCATCCTTGCTCCCTGTTATAACATTTGGTGCACCATCGATAATGTGTGGAGGTGATAACTTGCTTCGGAAATTGGGATTGCCTAAATATCATGTCCAAGCCATTACTATGCATAGAGATATTGTTCCTCGAGCCTTCTCCTGCAACTATCCAGATCATGTAGCTAAGATTCTCAAGGCTGTTAACGGCAACTTCCGAGATCATCCATGTCTCAAGAACCAGGTAAAACTTGCTCAATTTTGAATCCCTTTGGAATGCTATATATATCTGTTTATGATAAGTGTACACTGTCTTAATGTGCCTTGAAGATTAAAAAACAAAAACATTGAGTGCCTGATGTTCATTAATCCGAAATTTTCATGAACTTGACATAAATTGTAGTCTTGTAGTGAAATATTAGCCTGAAAATTAAAAAAGGTGCCATACAACATCTTATGGTGCCTTCAAATATTAATCAGCTTCTCTAATCTCAAATATCTCAGCAACTGGCAAAACTAAAAAAATTGCTTCTGTTGATTAACTCAACATTTTTTCTCCCTTTTCAACTTTTGATAGAATTAAAAGGTACCAAAGTTCAGTATAACTCTATACAGCAATGGATGCTTTAGTTTGTCTAATCAACGAGCTTGCTTTCATGCTTCATTTTAAATTTAAGGCATTTACTTTGGTCCAAGTGCCTCTATCTCCAAAAAGGGGATGAGTACCAAATTGGTTTAGTTATATCCAATTACGAGACAAAGTAGCATTTTTCTAATTGAAAAATAAAGGCATATAACGATCAACTAGTATACTTTTTGTTTCTTTCACTGTTTTCCTAGTTTGTGTAGATTCCCCTTCGCAATAATGTAAATTTATCTACAATGACACAACTTAAGTTAAAGTGCTTGAGAATACATTACTTTTGCCTTTATATATTTAAAATGATTTCAACCAATGGTCTTCTTTTTTGTGCCACCTCTTGACAGAAACTGTTATATGGTCCCATGGGGCAGCTTCTGATACTACAACCTGAAGAGAAGTTCTCTCCATGCCACCACCTTCTTCCCCCAGGCAATGGCCTCTACATCTTGGGCAATTCATTAGCAGACTCAAATGATACAGAAAGGCTACTGCATGCTGCAACTTTAGCTTTCCTAAACTCTCCCCACCCTCTTGAGATTCTTAGTGACCGCTCTGCATATGGTTCTGAAGGAACAGTGTATAGAGACCATGATACAAATTCCTACTTGAGGTCAGTCCGTGGTGTGATCCGCCAGGAGCTTAAACTCATTAGAAAGGTCAAGAGGGAGCAACGCCGTAAAATTTGGTGGCCTCTTGTGGCCACACAGGACATGCACCCCAGGGTTGTCACCTCCAGATCTGCTGGATCAACTATCTCCACTCAACGCAACTTCAGCTTTGCCGGTGTTATTCACGGAGGAAGGCAAACACTGAAACGGTTTGGAAGACTGGTTGCATCGCAGCATGTTCATATATTTGTCGTGCTCTTTTTTCCAGCACGGTTATTGCTCTTGGGAGCATTATCTGTGATTAATTGCAGCTGACTGAAGTCAGTTGCTGTAATCTGCTGCAGTGGTTACATTCTTTATTCATCATACAATTCTTTCATAGAATTCTGGAATAGATGGAAAAATTGTCATTATTCACGATAAATAGAAATGAATATATATGTCTCAGCAAAAGGTCTCATGGTTCTTTGTTGAGTTCTGCTTTTTGTTTGCCCGAACAAACTAAAGATCTGTTGTGAACATACATTTCCAATCCCACAATTCACTTGAATTACTTTTCAGACTTCCAATTTAAGGTACAAATCAAATCCTTATTAAGGTAATTTGTCTCACTTTTTTTGTTTTAATATGCTAATCTCCAAATTTAATAAATTTGCAGATGAATTTGTGAGATAAGAAGAAGAAAATATATGCTGAGATTTTATTGGTTCTCAGAATCCCTGGGATCAAATTCCCATTGTAAGTCATCTGATCTCGGTCTGGTGAGCTTGATTCTGAATTTATTCTTTTTATCTTTTAATTGTCACTGCTATCATCTATTGATTGTTATATAGCAGTTGGTCAATCATATATCTTGTTTAGATCATGCGTTTTGTTCGTCATTCAATATCTATTAAGTTAGATTGGATTAATACCATAGGCATGTTGCAGATATTTATAGGCAATGCTTATGACAAATACCAACTCCACATTAATGTAGTCTTATGATGCTTTTCTGAATATTTTCAGGTTTGTTGATTTTAGGTAAACTTCCTCATGTCATTCATTGTAGTCTTAGCAAACCATGATAACCCAGATTTTAGCTGAGTTGCTGATTGCATAAAGAGGCACATACTTTGTGTTTGTGACTAAATCATTCAGTGCCATACTTTCTTTAATGGATACGTGAGGTCGGCACATCATATAACTCTACTGCAATAAATATCAAACTCTTTTATCATAAATCCTGATACTTATCAACCTTGCTTGCTTAAATTTCTGAATCTTGCCATTTGAGAATTTAATCCCTCTACTTTCAGATATTTCTCGTTGTGAGTAGACACTAGAAATTTGGTTTGTGTTCAAATTTTAAAGGCTAGTATGACGACAAACACGTGTTCAAAATCATGCTTCTGTTCGCATCCATCTTAGCTGTTGTATCTTCTCGCTCAAAATGGTAGGTGCATGAGTGTCGTGTTTGAATGTGACTCTATGACTCTTGTGACTTTGGTGAACTGATAAGGGTATCGGATGTTGCCATGATATTTCTGCATCTTGACCAATTCCATTTGTTTAAAAGCATCATTTTCCTTTTTGTCCAATATTTTGGCATCTTACACTGGAAACTTATGCCAAGGAAATACAAAGATACATACAAATGCTGACAGGTTGTGGACAGCTCCACCTTTGTCTTGCTCAATCAAACACATTTGTTAAGTGAACAGCAACAAGATTGAGGTCCCAGCTTGCGTGGTTGAGGTTTCTAAGCCTATCGACTCACTCTGAGGCACGTATCATACACGTAAGAGTATGGCTGCTACGCAGGCAAGGCTTACACGTTGGACGCCGATCATTCTACTCATAAGATGTTGACATATTAGCTGAAAATGTTGTGAATTTGCATCTACTAACAGGTTGCAGCTATCTCATAGCAATCCTGATTCACATGGTCTTTTTTGTGGATGCATACTGGACAAAATAATTTTTTTTTGTCGTGTCTTTTTCTTCAGGTTCACCACCCACCCTTCTTTCTGAAGAGTAATGTTTTGTTGCTGCTTTAACCATGGTCTTTTCCTTTCTCTTCACTGTGAACTTGTAAGCTCTGCTTTGATAAGTGTGGACTAGGGAGGACCAAATGCTACAGAGATGAAGCCATACATATGCATGCAAACACACACTATCATGGATTACTTTGCTCTCAGTCTCAGAAACAGATTAAAATGCCATCATCTGGTCAAACATGATGAAGTTTTCGTCAAGATTTGTTCTATTCTCTCTGACAAATGTCACTGGCATAGTCTTCTTCTCTTGCTGCTGGTTGTGTATTAGGTGGTGTTGCAGTTGAATTTTAATTACCTTAAATAGTGTATATAACACTCACTTGTGAATTTGAACTTAAAAAGACTTATTATTTATACAATAATGTACTGATCAACCGGATGTCTTAATATTGTTATTATAGATGGATTAACAAAGCTTCTTTTTTGTTATGTAGTTAGTCTGGCTTTTGGCTTTCCTCTGCCAGAGTTACTTTAGGATAGTAAATGTGAATTAGTGTTTGATAATTTTTTGTATTAGAAATGCGATGTTACTTTAGGATAGTATTATTAGCATTTCAATATTTACTTGATGTCAATATAAATTTTAAATTACCTTATGACATTATCTAATATTACAAAATTGTCAAAATGATTTAATTATTTACTTATTAATTTAAATACAAATATTAAAAATATTAGAAAGATAAATTTATCATAAAATATTTAATTTCACCAAATAATATTTATATTAATATATATTTAAAATATATATTTTTTATCTATTATTTATATAGCACTCAAAGCATTCTATGAGTATATGTTAACCCAATTATTTTTCTTCAATTACACATTATATTTCTTGCTTCGGCCCCCACGCTCTGCTTCCTCCTGATTGCTACTCCAACTCGTTCATAAGAGATACTATTTTATTTCTCATATTAACCTTAATTTCAAGATTGACATAAATACTCTTTTATAAAATAATAAATTTGATTTAAGATAAAGATATTAAGTAATTTTAGCTTATTTATTTATTTTATAACAAATAAGCGATGAAGATAAGATTTGAGCTCACACCTTTATGATAAATTATCAAAATTTTTACCAACTAAATTATGATTATTATTTATAAAATTAGGTCGATCGGGTCAATAATCGATTATTATTTACAAAGTTAGATGAATAAAACCTTACTTTAAAAAAAAAAAAACTTGATCGAATGAAATTTGGGGAGTCCATCCTTTTACGATACAGGAGAATCTTGTCCCCAATAAGTCATCTTATTCTTGGTAGAGCTTTTACATCAGCTTCCCAAATCATGCTTCCAACCAAGATGGGTTTTATCTAATTTTAAACATCACGATATCTGCCAAAAAAAACAAAAACAAAAAAACAAATTGACACCAACAATATATGGAAACACGAAAAAAGCTACAGTAAGAGTCCGACTCTAAATGGCAAACCTCACGGTAAACTTGGTAGGACAAAGAATTCTTGAAAATAAAATTATTAAAATAAATTAGGTAATTATGTTAATTTAGAGACTTATTCTGCATGCATGCAAATATAGATAAATCAATTCAAAAGCATTATCGAATTTAAGTTCTACATGTATTTTTTTGGTATATAGATAACAATTATCTAACTACTTCGATCGCACCTCCCTCTCTTCCATAATCTCCACTTCATTCACTCATCTATAATTTTATTCATCATATATAGTTTACCAATTTATAAATCTTCAAGACATACACATAAAAGATTATGTATTAATCTTGGCTTTGATTCCAACTCAACTTTTCACCAATCCTAAAACTAACTAAAATTTAATTTATCTACCAATGTTGACACTTAAAAGATACCGTAAAACCAAAATTCCATCTAACATTTTCCCTTATAGTTGTCAAAACTTGAAACCTATCATCATAATTATGGATTAAATTAAAAAAGATTGTTGGATTAGCTACTTGGATCAAGTGCAGATATGTCCCATTAAGCAAAGGACAAAAAGAAACCTAATTCAAGATTCATAATGGGTTGGATTTAATGGGTCTATGCCCACTAATTGGATCCACTTTCTTTTTTAATTGATTTTCCAAGTCAATTTTCAGTTTCGCTACTCGAAATCTAAAAGGGCTTTCCTCACAAAATATTAAATTTTGGTAGAGTGTGAATTATGATGCACAAAACCGAGGTTTTTCCCTTAAGAAAGTGATGATTAGTCTTCATGTTGTATTTTCTTAGCTTTTCTTCTATGTATTATCAAAACTTTTGTGTTCCTCTTAAGACAGTGAGTGAGATCAATGTGGCATTATTAAGTAACCATCGAATCGCTTAGGATTCAAAACTCTTAGATTCTTCTTGGTCTCGCCCTCAAGCATAAGCCACGTACGTGCGATATACTCCACAAGCTCCCTCTTTGCTTCCATCGATGGGAGAAGGGTCGCACAAACCCAAGTCCGAGGGCCATGTGGACTCACGTGCTACCCACCACTCAGAATGAGTAAAAAGAAACCCTTATGATGGCCACTTTCGTGTCCTTTAATCCTTGTTTAGTGCACAATAATGCACCTCAATACCCACAGGGTGTGTTGTTCTTGTCTCCTCTTCTTCCAACACCGTATGCATCTCAACAAGCTAACCCTAATCATGAGCCTCGATTCATTGGATCTAAAGGTCTCAAACAACTCATTTGATTCCCTTGACACCCTTAATCCTTCCATACCATAAAACTTCCAAGTGTCGAATATGCCTCCATATAATAATGCCTGCCATCCCCGTCCCATCTTCCTTTACTTGGATCAGTTAGACTTCAACGATTGAGTGACGACGAAGAACACATTAAAATTGTGATATCTTCAGAGTGTAGTTTTTGATGAGTGCTCCTTCTCTTTGGCCAAAAAGATAAAAACCGAATTCCAAAGCTACTGATTGCACTGATTCAGGTTAGATGAGCATATTTTATTTCGTCTTCACAGTAAAGTTGAAGGGAGATTGGAGTCATGGGGAGGCGTTTCTTTGTATGTCTCATCAGGAATGCACCTCGTTCTCGTCATATACATATATATATCAGTGAATCAGAGTGGTTTGTGTAAGAATGTCATGGTGTTAAACAAATCATCTTCTCTTATTTTGAGGTGCATTTCTTGTTGTTTGTTCCACAAGTCAGATACCAAACCACATTGTTAATCTCGAGTGAGTTGTTCATCTGACACACACGTTTGTACACTGAATTGACGAAGATGAAAGTCCTGATCCGGTGATCTGTCTTATGCTTGGAAAGAAAGAAAGAAAGAAGGGAATGCTCGTGATCACGCCGTTATTATGGACTTCTTTTCCTGCAAGTTTTGAACACGAAATAAATCTTTTATAACTTCATCGTGTATATGGCAGATTCTGACGAGGTAATGTTAGTGTGTTTGTCCGAAATAATACTAGTGTCAAAAGATCTTTGCAGGTGGGCTATTTGGAATATTCTAGGTTTTGCAGCATCGATCCTTCTCTCTCTCGCTCTCTCTCGCTCTCTCTCTCTCTCTCTCTCTCTCTCTCTCTCTCTCTCTCTCTCTCTCTCTCTCTCTCTCTCTCAAACAATTCTACCAAGAAAGAAGCTACATTGGATTCCGTTTCTGTAAAGCAACCTTCACGTAGTTCATTTGGCGATGCATTGAAGGCAATCACGGACTTGAGAAACGATTATAGACGTGAATATCATGCAGTCTCATAACGTGAAACGTTTAAATAGGTCAATGAGAGATTACATTCATATCTGCCTTCCTCTCTTTTCATTGAAAGCCACACAATGAAGCCTGTAAACGTTGAATGTCATTCACGGGTCAGTGCAGTGTCGACCTTGCGATAGCTCTAGATTAATTTGTAGCTGGATTACAAGTGAGAAATGCAAAGCTCTCCTATTTCTGAAATTGGGAAACCACATTCTAGTAAGATATAGTGCAACTTAGCTTTGGGTTGTCTCCTCGAAGACAGGTAGAATAATGCTATTATCCCTCTCGATCACATCACTTGTACTCCACCACTCATCACAAGAAATGCCTGTCTCACTGACGCGATCAGGTCTGCAAACACCGAAAAAAATAAAAATAAAAAACTCCTCCGAAGACCTATCAAAAACGAGCAAACTGTTGAGAGTAAACAAATCGCCGGAGAAATGAGTTGCTTACCCCGAAAGAGGAGCGTGGAATACCTGTAAACCATCACAGGGGAAGCATGATAATGGAGTTGTGTGTCCGTAAGTTGATGGCTACCGTGCCATGATGACAGCTTTAAGGGGAAATATATATTGAAGATGGCGTCACATTTACTGCAGGTGATGCAGCCTCTCACGTGCGTGGGACCCCGCCATGATTGCTTACATCTTAACCCACAATAAAAATGGTGGCGTCCTCTGTATCCTTGGCATCGGCTTGAGAACCAGGCAAGAAGAAGAGTTCATGTGTTGCTGTCGAGGGGAGTGATAGAATGGATAAGCTTTGTGTTGTCACATTTGAGAGGCTCTTTATGGATGGATGCACAAGGGCACTGTGCTGGAGAGACCAAAAAGTTGCAGAGGGGAACAGTGGTAAAAGAATAGCATAGTTTGGCAGCGCAGTAGTGTTTTGGGGGACTAAAGCTGACGACTGATACAGAAAGAGTCCGTGCAAGTGTGCAGAGCAGCTTCCAATAAAGGTTCTGTGCTGCTATGAATGAGCCTTCATTGCTCTCGTTGGATTTGGTTTGCTCGGATCTGATTCCAGTGATTACAGGTGCCAACGGTGTGCAGCTATACCTTCTCAGATTGCTGATCTTTATGGTCAACCTTGGACTGTTGTAATCTTTCTTGATTCACACTTAAAGCGTAAGAACTGATGGGAAGGAAGTTGCAAGAACAATTTTGATTGCTTGTATAACTTTTCAGTCAAAATTACTGGCAGCTTTGTGAAGGAAAGTTTTTGGCCCACTGTGTCAGATACTGTGCCTGCGATTTCCTTTCTTTTCTTTCCTTTTTTTAATCTGAACTTTATTTTTATTACCAAAAGCTGGAAAATGTGATTCAGCTTCACTTGCCTTTCTTACACCATGTAATTTGAGTTTAGAGCCAAAAAAAAGAACATAACAGGAAGCTTGTACAAAACATCTGAAAGCACATACCAACAATGACTAGGATTCATAAGATCAAAGAGGAAAAAGAAACTTAGACATCATCTAAGAACAGTATAGTAAGC